ATCCCGTGCGGATTCCAGTAAAGCAGACGCAGGTTACTGTCCTCCGTAGTGCCTTGCCAGTAGCGATGCCAGCGCCTTCATAACGGCGGTTACTGGATCCGTCCCGGTCCTTATGTCGGTCAGGACTTCTGTACCGACCTCGATAGCTATGCCTACCAATCTGTGGATGGCATCAGCTGTCTCGAGGCCGGACGTTGATGGTCTATATTGTGAAGGCACTGTTCTCGGGGCATTTGTGGTGGTCTTTTCTCTATATGTAGAGCGCGCTCTATGTCTATAGCGGGCTCTACTTTCTGGTAGAGCCCTTTCTGGCGCTCTACCCGTCGTGTTTTTCGGTGGTGGTCTCTCAGTAACCTGCGCCTGTGAGGCTATCGGTCCTGTTGTGTTAGGGGTAGAGGTAATCACAGCCTAAGGAGGGGGGCTGTTCAGTCTCCTCCTGTTCCTCCGCCTCTTCCTTCGGGAAGGTTGCCTCTCTGTGGCGTTGTTGGCAGGGGGTTGGAGAGTCGCCCCGGTGGTTGCCCTTTGCTCTATGGGTTCCACCGTTTCCATTGGTATTGTAGGAGGGGGTGGGGGGCTGGTTGCCTACCCTTCCCACTGGTGACTGTGGCCCACCCATCCTCCTGGATGGTAACAGCCTTTGCGCGACTCTGGGGGATCCTCTTAGGGAGTAGCTCAGGTAGAACGATTCCCTGCTTCCTGGCAATCCTCCTCGGGACTGGGCAGTGGTAATCATTGGCCGCGTGGTTTTTTGCACAAAAATTGCGCACTTCGGCTCTTCCTCTCTACCCCTTGGACAAAGGCTAGCAATATGCTCCCCGGCACAGCGAACGTATTTCACTGGCCTGAAGCAGTTTGCGGAGGCGTAGCCGAAAGCCTGGCAACGGTGGCATTGAGTAACTCGCGTAAGTGTTTTTGTATTGACGTAATCGGGCGTTACTTTGCAGAAATCCATTATGTTAAAGATGTTACAAATTAACTAAGATCGTAAAAATAAAAATGATGCCTAGATAATTTGTTAGAAAAATGTAAGGGTTAACGCTTCTATTTAAAATATTAGTAATAATTTATATTAATTTAATTAGAAATAAACCAAACTGTAAATATTCTAAAAAGTCGAAAAATTAAAAAAAAGAGTTAAAAATGTGCATGAAATTAAATAACAAACCAAGTACTTAGTATTTTTTGTGTAATTAAACACGAAACGCATAATTACTTCAAAGGCAACAATTATAATTCTAAATTCAATTATAATGAAATTAATAACACCACCTCAGTCTAAATAATCGACATCTGGCGAGCATCTTATCGGTCAGCTATCGCAGTTTCTAATGTCCACTGAAGGGGATAGTGCACGGAAGTAAGAGAGGACGGGAGGTACTCAACAAACTGGATAAGATAAAAATATATTTATTTTTATGCGGACCTTAGATATTATTTAATGCCTTTAATAATTCTCTTTTTGCAAGTACACAACACTATGTACACCATGTTTACGTGGTAAAGCCAACCTGTAGCTATATAAATGCTTCAGTATGAATCAATCTGTAACCTCAGAACATGGTCTCACAGAAAATAACTTTTGTCGTAGTTTGCTAGATACATAATGCTGCTGTTTGAAGCGTTTCCATCATAGTCCACAGGGGTGACGAATTTTAATCAAGGATAGATATACTTAGCCGATTGATTGGATTGCGTACTGTACATTTGTCACCCTTAATTTCATTATGGTAAATAAGCAGGCGTGATTGGATGTTAGTTGTAAGTTTTCAGGTGAAAAATGAATGACATTCTTTTCATTTTTAGGATATATAATCATTGTTTATCTTTATATATAAGTATTAATGTTTATTTGTACGTATTTTATGGCAGCGCATAATGTCAGATTGCGGCAAAACTTTGTCAACTTATTGCTTGCACTTGTGCGAAGGATATCGGCATAGTGACATTAACTTACTCTAGGTTTTAGGTCTAGGTCAAGGATTTATTACGTGGTAGAGCCAAGCTGCAGCTATATTATGGCTGTAGCATGAAAAGGCCCGCTCAACTGGGGATGGGCCACGTTCTCGCCGAATATCAGCGTAAAATAGCAGCATAATGCTGCTATGTTTCTTATGTTGAGTATAGAGAACCGGAAACCTCTTTTACCGGAAACATGTAGATGTTTGGGCCACAGTATCCACTTACCATAAGGTGGCCTGTTTGTTCTTGTGGACCCTTATTCTATAAAAAAAAGGTGACACGCGCATCGTACCGACAAATTTATTTGAAAGTAATTCAATTTCAATGAATGCTTTATCATTCCCAAATTAAACAATATAAGTCCTCCAAATTTAAAACGATAGTTCCTCAACTGTGTTTATCCGCGGCAGCGACGCGCCGGGGGACCAGCTATCTATGCACCTAAATAAAATTATAATTATAGTAACGTCCTCAATGACGTATACGCAAAGTCCAGCCCGGGGCACAAAAGAGTGTTCTAATTTTTACCCCGGGTGGGAGAGAAGACACCTGAGTCTCGGTTAAGAAGAGCAAGGCCGGCTTCGCCACTATATTCCAGATGATAGTGGACAGCGTTAAGGTTGGAAGGAAGTCCCCTGATGTTGCAAAAATTCACGGAAAGCGTGGCAGGAGTCGGTGTTGTTGCTCTGCTTGCCCCGAGCAGTTGTGCGAGCGGAATTGTGACCCCAGAATACGCGGGGCAGCCTGAGCATCCACGCTCAGGAAGAGTGGGATAACTTGGTCGTGGATGATCAGCGAGGGATTCTCCATCACCAGGGGTGCTGGTACCCTCCTGGAGTATTTTTAATTGATTCCGCTACCATCTTAAGGGGAGGGGGGGGGAGTTGGGCCTCCGGCCACCTGCACTTACCAAGCGAAACGCAGATGTAAATCTCTACTTTCACGCTGGTATTCTTTGAGGTCGTGGGGCCACCCGGTTCCAGCCGGCTTATCCGTGCGACAGCAGAAAAGTTGCCGCGTGGTTCCACCACTGTAAATTATATTTATTAGATACCTTGACATGATATTTCAACATTTACTTAATTAGTGTAGCCATTCAGTGAGAAAACGCAGCCGGCGTTCTTGGCACGATAGCACGAAAAGTAGAACTTTAAGATATTTTAAGTTTTGAGTTTTAGTTTTATTTTATTATAGTTTTTTTAACATTGTATGTATTCCAATGTTTCATTATAGGTCCGCAATAAGAGGCCATGATGGTTTTGATATGATTTTGCAGCTTAAAAACCCGCGAAGTGTGCCCTACAAGGGTACTTTTAAGATATCTAATTTGTCAAAATATGGTGAGTAGCTTAGAAGATCTGAGGGTAAATACATACATAGCCTCCTAAAATCGTAAACATCCTTTTGGATTCACCTTAGTTGGTTAAAAATATTCACTTAAATTATCTGCGTCAAATCAGAAGACTCGAATATACTGCAATCGATATCGATAATTGAAGTTGAGGCAGGCAATGCATGGTGCAGCACTATTTGTCACCTACACATGCACATTACATGCACACTGGTGTATTTTGATTTTGGTCTCACCCTAATGACTCGATCACTATCTATTCTATACTAGGTATATCTATGAATTACTCAGGTTTTATTTGATGTAAACGTCAGTTAATTTTTACGTAAAACTTCATAAGCTGTCTAAAGGTGTACGGTACGGCACACTTCACTTCATACCACGTCATGCACGCTAGCTTTGATTATATTCCTGTCTATACTCGTATTCAAAGCACGCAGGTTTATTCAAGTAGTAGTTATATCAATAAAAAGTATGTTTTCCTTAACCACCGAGCACGTGGTCAATCAGCACTTACAATTCAAGAGGAATGCAGCATGACATTTTTACATGGTAGAGCCATGCTATAGCTACATTACGATTTTGGCACGAATGCGTGGGCTCGTCCGGGGAAGGAACATGGACCACGCTCTCACAGAATATAAGCGTGAAATATTAGGTTAATGCTGCTGTGTTTGTTATTTAGTGTAGGACTGAAGACTTTTTTGTAGCAACGAGCAGAGGCAGATTAAATGTCGACAAAACCTAAGGCTTGCTCCAGCGGCCATATATTACAAATTATAACTACTCATTTTGCAAATATACTATATTAGAATTTCTAATAGTGAATAAAAATTAGATGGGAGATAGAGGGCGTTGAGAGCTATGTATGAGTAATCAAATAGACAATTTTTTCTTTTAAAAATTTCCGCGTGCGCCCCTCGACAGGTGCCTGATTTGCCTTAAGGATAATCCACCACTGGAAACGAGGCATTCCACCTTAGTCCTCAGGGGTGACAACGCATCTACATTTTGATTTTTTAAATAGAACAAGAGTAACAAACAGTTTCTCAAAGAGCAGTGTCGACGTGGTGGTTAGTGGATGCTGTAGTCCATAGAGATCTACATTCATCCACGATTGATAATCAAAATGCAGATAAGTTGTCACCCCTAAGAACTAAAATGAAATGCCTCGTTTCCAGTAAATAAAGACTCTGATTCTCTACACTCACCATACGAAACACAGCATTTTTTCATTCGATTGTAAATGTAGCTTAATACAAACTACAACGATAATCAAAATGTAGCAGAAGCATGGCGCATCAGGTTACATTCTCAACTGTGGAGTAAAACCATCTTGATGTTACAGCGGATACATTTTTTTCTACCGCCACCCTTCGCCACCCCTCCCCCTAGTGTGTATCTTTTTCGATACACGGGCCTGTGACAATAGTTAACACCCAAAACTTTTTCATGGGCCATGTGTGCAAAAAAAGATACACATTAATAATTAAATCTCATATTGTTTTAGATTAGCAATTGGAGCTGAGAAGAAAGAAGAAAGAAGCAAATGAGAAGAGAGTTTGGGAATAGCAACAGTTTTTCTTAAATTTTCTTTTCTTTTGTTTCAGGCATAAGTAATAGAGAATTAATAAAGTGAATAACAACCGAGAGACGCGTTAGAATATTGTAAAAATGGATTATAGTAGTGATGATTCAAAAGGACGATCCCGATTTCCGTCCCAGTACAGAAGATGACGACGATTCAAGTGAATCGTATAGTGGAAATGAAGCTTGGAATCCACCAGATACATCAAGAAGAATGTCAACATTTTCAGAGGATCAGTTACCTGCACTGCCAAATATACAGAGACGAAGAACTCCACGATCAAGAACAATGCCACCAGATGATATAGCCAACCTTCCAAGTACTTATGGAACTACCTCAGAAGAAATACCAGAGTCTGAATGGGTCAAACAAAAAATAGAAAATATAGAATGGGATATGCCAACTGCAGATGATCCAGAACCGATACCGTACACTGTGCCTTTTTCAGGAATGAAAGATATTTACACGGGCATCTTAACAACTGCAAACCCTATTGAATACTTTGAACTTTTTCTGACGAGAGATATTGTGGAGCTCATTGTTGAACAAACAAATCTTTTTGCTACACAAAACTTATTATCTAACGACGACGTGGGTCCCCAAGCTCGAGCTCATTCTTGGTATCCAGTCACTGCCGACGAGATGATCAAATTTTTGGCACTGATTGGTTGGATGGGCTTGGTCAAACTGTCTGCTATAAAAGACTACTGGAGAGTTCATAAGCTTTATGGAATTCCATTGGCAAGGACAGTCATGCCAAGAAATCGCTTCGAGCTAATATTGAAATACTTGCATTTTTCGGATAACACTGAAGCAGATACAGAGGACAGGTTGTGCAAAATTAGAGATGTGCTTGATAAATTTATTGAGAACTATAAGAAAATGTATACCCCAGGAGAAAACATCTGCGTCGACGAATCTCTTATTCCTTGGCGCGGAAGATTGATATTTCGCCAATATATACCTAATAAAGCAGCGAAATATGGTATAAAGGTATTCAAGCTCTGCACTGAAAAGGGTTATACCTGGAATCTATATGTATATTGTGGAAAATCGAAAGAAAAAGAAGTCGATGTTTCTGAAAAAAACGGTTATGACTCTTGCTCAAGTTCTTCTTGACGAAGGAAGAACTATTTTTACTGATAATTATTGTACAAGCGTCCCGATAGCATACAGACTACGAGGCCGAAAAACCCATCTTGTTGGTACCCTCAGATCCAACCGAAAACATCTACCAAAAGATGTCATTGCAAAAAACTGAAAAGAGGGGAAATTAGCTGTAAGCAAACCAAAGATGGAATTGTAGTCCTGAAATGGCGCGATAAACGGGATGTAAGAATGCTCTCAACGAAAACATCTGGCCTCAAGACAGTGATCACCCAAACTAGAAAAAGGATACCTATAATGATTTCTTATATTTACGCGAACACTATACATAATTAAAACTACTTTTACGGAAAAGTAGTTTTAATCAGGATACCTTTAATAAAGCCAGTAATTATCAACGACACAACAGCGGCAAAATATCGATTGATATAAGTGACCAAATGGCTACATATGGCAGTGCTTTGAGACGTTGTACTAAATGGTATCGTAAGCTGTTCATTGAGGTACTATGGGGAACAAGCCTAGTCAATGCCCATTTTCTCTATAACAAATATTCCAACAACAAGAAACTGACAATTACGGAATTTCGAGAGCAAGTTATTACAGGATTACTTGACAGACATTCTCAACCCCGTGTTACAGAATCCGGACCATCAACTTCGACACCAAGAAGAGCCTCAGGAAATATGAAGCACTATCTTGTGAAGAATACAGTTGGAGAAAAGACAGTTCGCGGGCGTTGTTCAAAATGCTACAAAAAGTACGGAAGGAAAGGAATTGAGTAAATGGCAAAATACTACGAGCGTCACAAGTTAACACAAAATGTTCTATTTGTGATGTAATTATTTGCAAAACTTGTTTCCCGCGCTTTTCAATAATACCCACTAACTATAAGATTACTTTCTCTTCATAACACCTTTGTTACATTTTGATTTTTTATAATAAAAGTTCTACATTTAAAATAATTTTAGTATTTTATTTCTTCCTCATACATTTTTCTTCATAATTTCCAAAAAATATTACCAATCCCAACCCCAATACACCAAAAAAATCCCCTAGGCCAGAGCAATATTTTCGTACTATAAAATGTATGAAAACGTGCGCGATAGCGATACACGAGGCTAAAGACTGGAATGGTGTTCGTGTATCGAAAAAGATACACAAGTGTTTGTACAGTGTGTATCGAAAATGATACACATGGCGCTTAGCGTGTTAATTTAAATAATTTCCCGTTCTTATCCCTGATCCGTCAAAAAGTATAAAAGCCGAACAATCGGCCAATAAAGAGAGTCTCGCTTCAGCTTTCATACTAGAAGCATCTCCTAAAGGCCTTATCCCGGGGCCGCACTGCCCCGGGATCCTGCAAGCCTCTGCCTTCATCTGAAGTCGTCGTCTAGCCACGCCTACGCCTCCACCTACTAGTGCCCGCGCTATCTTTGGGCGCTGTGTGTGCCTACTTCAAGCGCTGCGTGTGCCTACTCCAGACGCTGCGTGTGCCTAGATCAGGCGCTGCGTGTGCCTAGATCAGGCGCTGCGCACCTACCACATGCATAGCCTGTGCATACTCCGTGAGCGGTGAGCACCACTGCCAAGCGCGGTGTGCCGCCTTGGTCTTCGGGCTCCGTTTCAGTACTCATTTATCTTTGTTATTTTTTTTTTAAAAATAATTGTGATTCACGTCACCCATCATCATCTTCATATTTTTTGTATATAAAAAACTGTAAATATCTTTTAAAATTTTAAATAAATTATTCGTTTTTTTGTTGTTTCGTCGTTGTTAGGTTAGGTTCTTTTATTTTTAATTGTCGCTTTACGACAAGCTTCATTTGTATAGAAGTAGTTAGTTAGTACCAGTTCTGGCTCACTGATTCAGATGTGGTACAACGTTCGTCGAGACTCAGGATACTAAAAAAAAAAAGTTTTGGCATGCTCTGATCACGAATCTGCGGTCATTTTTGCGTAGGATGCACGGTTCCGGAGATGTGCAGATCAATTAACTCTTATCTAATTGATATCCGGTGAGGGCCTCCACCGTCATTAGCGCCCCATTGTTATTTATCTATTGTTCATTGAATACCGTCATTGTCTATTCGTGCGTCGGATTATCAGTGCTATTATACTCCCTTGTTCCTAACTGCAACGGTAATCTGAATCATCAATAAAATACATTACCTAATTTTGTTACAATTTTTATTTACGAAATACAAAATCTTATTACTTATTATCTATAAAATAGGAGCGAAACATCTCATCCACTAAAATATCGTTGTACAATGTGTTACCTGTAAATATACTCGTAAAACTATGCATTGAACATCCCTGAAACTTATATAGCAAATACATTAAGCAATATTCGCCACAAACTGTAGTCCACTCATTCTGAATCCTATCAACATTCCAGTTCCATCTTTTACAATTCCTTTTTAAAAACTCTAGATGATATCGTACAGGTGCTCGTCCAAAATATTGACCGACGTCATTCGTATCGATATATAAAGCTACCCAATGTGACCCTGGTTTATCATCTGTATCCAAATTGCATATTATATACGTTGGCACGTGGGTGTACATGGGCAGTCTATTCTCAGGATAAACATTATTTTCTAGACTGGGGTGAATCTTTTTCAGATGTTGTACATCTAGTGTATCCATGATATTACTGCTATTAGTAGATTATTACAGTACATTCTACTCAATGACTAACATAGGAATGATAAATTATAGTGATTTCTAAACATTAAATTGCATTATTTTGTGTTACACAAAACGTATTTGAGTCATCAATACACTGAACAAGACGCGACACGAAGTAATGTTGAAATAAGTAACAAAATGTGAGATAAGCTTGTTGACGCATAAAGTTACTATCAATTCCACTGCAGAAATTCTTTAGATTAGAATTATTACTTACTGGTACTATATAAGACCAAGCAAGTGCAGTCATGGAGTTAGTGTATGGTCGTTTGACCGCAGTGGATCTATCAATACTACATTTGTGTTACTTCAACGCATCAAAGGCCATGGATGTAAGTGTTTATTCTATTGACAAACTTACTTTTCTTTCTGTTATTTTCTTACGTGTGTATGATTTAGTGTTAACAAATTATATTTAAATATTGGTGTGTGTGTATATGATTAAGCCGTGGTAGCTCAGATGGTTAGCGCAAGCTGTAAATTTCACAGTACGTCCGGGTTCGATCCTCGCCGGCACCAATTAAATTGTTAATTGCAATTTTAAGTGTTTATTCTATTGACAAAGTTACTTTTCTTTCTGTTATTTTCTTACGATAAGTGTTAACAAATTATATTTAAATATTGTGTGTGTATTATATTAAGCCGTGGTAGCTCAGATGGTTAGCGCAAGCTGTAAATTTCACAGTACCCGGGTTCGATCCCCGCCGGCACCAATTAAATTGTTATTTGCAATTTAGCAAATTATATTTAAATATTGTGTGTGTACCGCATCTACGAATACTAGAGTAGTTAAAAAATACTTTTTTAACAATGACAGTCATTAGTTGATCATAAGTGAATGTGATTCTGTTTACTTAAAATACAGGAAGACAAGAGCAGAAGGAAGAAATGGGATGATGGGAAGTAATGAAGCATTGTTATGTGAAGTTTGTTGGAACAAACATATTTTTAGTCACGTGTAAATACTTTTAACATTTTGGTTCAAAATGACACAAAATCTAAAAAATATTAGATACATCATCGACATGGACGGATTTTACATTACATATCCTCATAAACATTTTCAATGTAGAGAAATGGCTATTCTAGACGTAAAACTATCTAATAAAAATGATGCGTTTATCGATCATTATTTGTTTCGGCCAAGTTATCCTTTCAATTATTTGTCACCAAAAGACAAAAAAACTGTTCGTTATTGTGAAACACACGTGCACGGCATTCCATATTTTGATGTGACCGAAGAATTAAAATGTGCCTACAAACAAGAGAACATCATCCCCATATTAAATTGGTATATTAGAAATTTGTGCAAAGACGAAGTGATCGCATACAAAGGTGGTTCAACAGAAAAACAATTTTTAAAAATGTTGACGACGAATGATAGAATTTTTAATATTGAAGAATACAAATGTCCAAAATACAATGATTTGGTAAATGTCATAAATTTAAACAAACGTTATGTGTGTAATAATCATATATTTGCAAAAAATAATCACAAAATTTTACATTGTTCTCGTGACGAAGTGTGGGTTTTTTTACAAGTGGTTATTGCTTGAAAATAAAATTTTAAATTAATCATAAATTTTGTTTGATTTCCCAAAAACATTAGTTATAGCTACACAATATATATTAATTGTTTACACCAACACTTTCATTTTTTATTTCACCCCTTAGAACTTTAGACGTGTGTAATGTTTCACTTTATACATCCGTTTACTGCTATTGTGGCAGGACCAAGTGGATGTGGGAAGTCAAATTTTGTAACAAATTTCATAAAATCAGTTACAGAAATATGTAATTGTGATTTTAATCAGATCACATGGTGCTTTGATGAAATGCAACCTTTATATAATTTACCAAATGTTAACTATCATCAAGGAATTCCAAATCTTAATATGTTTGATGGTGAAAACCCACATCTCGTTATTATTGATGATCTAATGAGAGAGTCCGATGGAAGAATTGTGGATATATTTACAAAAGGTAGTCATCACAGGAATCTCAGTGTATTTTATTTAACACAAAATTTATTTCATTAGTGTAAAGGGCAAAGAGACATATCTTTAAACTCAAGTTATATAATATATTTTAAAAACCCTCGAGATAAAACTCAAATAAGATATTTAGCACGACAAGTGTCACCAGATAACCCAAAATTCATTGAAGATGCCTACAGGGATGCAACTCTAGAGGCACATGGATATTTAATGGTAGATTTAAAACAGAATACCAATGATTTTTGTCGTATCAAGACAAATGTCTTCCCATTTAATGATTTCTGTACAGTCTACGTCCCCACAAAAGAGTTTAAATACACC